TTGCTGTTTCCCATAGATTTGGGGTTGTTGTGTTCTAATTTTTTTTGTTTTGTTTGTTTCAAGGTATCTTTTGATTTCTTCCTTGATCTGATTGTTAGCCCATTCATTTTTTGTAACATGTTACTTAGCCTCCATGTACTTGTGTGCTTTTCAGTTTTTCTGTTGTAATTGATTTCTAATTTCATACCATTATGGTCAGAGAAGATGCTTGATATTATTTCAATCTTCTTAAATTTATTGATACTTGTTTGAGTACTAGCATGTGGTCTAACATAGAAAATGTTCTATGTACACTTGAAAAGAATGTATATTCTGCTGCTTTGGGTTAAAATGCTCTGAAGATATCAGTTAAATCTATCTGATCTAGTGTGTCATTTAAGGTATTGATTTCCTTGTTGATTTTTTTTGTCTGTAAGATCTATCTGGTGATGAGAGTGAGGTGTTAAAGTCCCCTACTATGACTGTATTACAGTCGATCTCCCCTTAAAGTCCACTGAGTTTTTTCAATATATTTAGGTGCTCCTATGNGCCCTAGCCGGTTTTGCTCAGTGGTTAGAGCGTCGGCCAGTGGACTGAAAGGTCCTGGGTTTGATTCTGGCCAAAGGAATGTACCTTGGTTGCAGGCTTGATCACTGGCCCCAGTCGGGATGCATGTGTGAGGCAACCAGTCGACATTGATGTTTGTCTCTCTCTTGCCCTCCCACTCTCTCTGAAAAACAGTGGAAAAAATATCCTGTAATGCTATGAATTTTCCTTTTAGGACTGCTCTTGCTGTTTCCCATAGATTTGGGGTTGTTGTGTTCTAATTTTTTTTGTTTTGTTTGTTTCAAGGTATCTTTTGATTTCTTCCTTGATCTGATTGTTAGCCCATTCATTTTTTGTAACATGTTACTTAGCCTCCATGTACTTGTGTGCTTTTCAGTTTTTCTGTTGTAATTGATTTCTAATTTCATACCATTATGGTCAGAGAAGATGCTTGATATTATTTCAATCTTCTTAAATTTATTGATACTTGTTTGAGTACTAGCATGTGGTCTAACATAGAAAATGTTCTATGTACACTTGAAAAGAATGTATATTCTGCTGCTTTGGGTTAAAATGCTCTGAAGATATCAGTTAAATCTATCTGATCTAGTGTGTCATTTAAGGTATTGATTTCCTTGTTGATTTTTTTTGTCTGTAAGATCTATCTGGTGATGAGAGTGAGGTGTTAAAGTCCCCTACTATGACTGTATTACAGTCGATCTCCCCTTAAAGTCCACTGAGTTTTTTCAATATATTTAGGTGCTCCTATGTTGGGTGCATATATGTTTACAAGGGTTATATTTTCTTGTTGGATCCATCCCTTCAATATTATGTGTCACCTTTGTCTCTTGTTATGGCCTTTCATTTGAAGTCTATTTTGTCAGATATGAGTATTGCTAACCCAGCTTTTTTTTGTTGTTTCCATTTGCATGGAATATTTTTTCCATTCCTTCATTTTCAGTCTGTGTGAATATTTTGTTCTGAGATGAGTCTCTTGTAGACAGCTTATATATGGGTCATGTTTTCTTATCCATTCATCTACCCTATGTCTTTTGATGGGAGCATTTAGTCCATTTACATTTAAGGTTATTATTAATAGGTATTTATTTATCGCATTTTTTTTCCTTTAGACCTATGTTGTTTTCTCTCTCTCGATTTCTTCTTCTCCTCCTCCCCTCCTCCCCCGCAATCCCTTTAACATTTCTTGCAATGCTGGTTTGTGGTAATGTACTCCTTTTTTTTTTTTTTTTTTTGGTCTGGGAAGCTCTTTATTTCACCTTCAATTTTAAATATTGCTGGATAGTGTAATCTTGGATTCAGGTCATTGCTTTTCATTAGTTTGAATACTTCATGCCACTCCCTTCTGACCTGAAGTGTTTCTGTTGAGAAATCAGCTGACAGTGTAATAGGAACTCCCTTGTAGGTAATTTTCTGTCTCTTGTTGCCTTTAAGATTCATTCTTTCTCTTTAACATTTGTCATTTTAATTACGATGCGTCTTGGTGTGGGCCTCTTTGGGTTCATCTTGATTGGTACTTTGTGCTTCCTGAACTTGTGTGAGTTTTTCCTTCACCAGGTTAGGAAAATTTTCTGTCATTATTTCTTCAAACAGAGGTTCTCTATTCCTTGCTCACTTTCTTCTCCTTCTGGTATCCCTATTATACAGATCTTATCTTTCATGTTGTCCCAAAGTTCCCATAAACCATCCTCCTGCTTTTTAATTCTTTTTTTCTTTTTGCTGCTCTAATTGGATGTTTTTTACCACCTTTTTTTCCAAGTCACTGATTCGATCCTCTGCTTCATTCAGTCTACGTTCAGTTCTTTCCAGTGTATTCTTCATTTATGATTTTTTTTTTTCATGTTGTTGCCATTCCCACTATGTCTTGTGTAATATTCACTAAGCTACTTGAGCATTCTTATAACAATTACTTTGAACTCTATGTATGATAAATTGCTTGTCTCCATTTCATTTAGCTCTTTTTCTGGAGCTTCCTCCCTTTCTTTCATTTGGGAGTTCTTTGTCTCCCCATTTTGCTTTTTGTGTTTGTCTCTATGTATTAGAACTGTTGTGCCTCTCAGTCTTTGTGGGGTAGCCTTATGTAATAAGTGTGCTGTAGGACCCAATGATGCTGTCTTTCTGATCTCTTGAACTAGATGCTTTAGGAATANATAAATTGCTTGTCTCCATTTCATTTAGCTCTTTTTCTGGAGCTTCCTCCTTTTCTTTCATTTGGGAGTTCTTTGTCTCCCCATTTTGCTCTTTGTGTTTGTCTCTGTGTATGAGAACTGCTGTGCCTCTCCGTCTTTGTGGGGTAGCCTTATGTAATAAGTGTGCTGTAGGACCCAATGGTGCTGTCGTTCTGATCTCTTGAACTAGATGCTTTAGGAATATCCCTTGTGTGGGTTATTTGGGCTTTCCTGTTGTAATTGGGTTTTATTTTCGTTGTTTCATATATGAGTGGGATCTCTTCTCAGCTGGCTGGCTGTGAGGCTCATCCCTGAACACGTCATGTGAGCTGTTGTGCAGGTGCAGCCTTGAAGTGGTTTCTACCCTTCCTTATTAAAAGTCTCCTTTTCAGTAAGTCTTCAATTGGTAATTCAGGTGAATGTTCCCCCATATAGTTTTATTTCCAGTTTGGTTCTGGGAGGAGGTTTAACAAAGATCCACCTACCCTCCTGTCATCTTGAAACCCCTTTTGCAGTCACGCTTTTAAAGGGTACCTTGGGAGAATGTATTGAAGAGAGTGAGGATCTAGATGAGCAGGCTTAGCATGCTTCCCCCTACCATGCACCCGCCTGTGGCTATACCACATCTTCTTTATCTAAACTTCTAGTGAAGGACACTTCTGTTGTTTCCATGGCTTGGCCACAGTGAATAATGTTGCAATGAACATTGGGTGCGTACATCTTTGTGAATAAATGTTTTCAAGAGGGGTTGCTGAGTCATATGGTAACTCTATTGAGGAGCTTCCATACTATTTTCTGAAGTGGCTGTACCAGTTTATATTTCCACCAGCAGTGAATGAGTGTTTCTTTTTCTCCACAACCTCTCCAACACTTGTTATTACTTGTCTTGTTGATAATAGCCACTCTGACAGGTGTGAGGTGGTATCTCATTGTAGCTTTGATCTGCCTTTCCCTAATAACTAATGAAGTTGAGCATCTTTTCATAGATCTGTTCACTATTTTTATGTCTTCTTAGTAGAAGTGACTGTTCAGGTCCTCTGCCCATTTTTAAATTGGATTATTTGTTTTTTTGGTGTTGAGTTGTATGAGTTCTTTATACATTTAGTATATTAATCCCTTCTCAAAACTTGTTCGCAAATATCTTCTCCTATTCAGTTGGTTGCCTTTTTGTTTTGTTGGTGATTTCTTTTGCTGTGCAGAAGTTTTTTTTGTTTGATACAATTCTGTTCATTTATTTTGCCTTTACTTCCCTTGCCTTTGGGGTCAAATTCATAAAATCTTCTCTAAGACCTACATCTATATGTTTAGTACCTATGTTTTCTATGTAATTTATTGTTTCAGATCTTGTATTTAGGTCTTTCATTCATTTTGAATTAATTTTTGTATACGGGAACAAGCAGTAGTCTGGTTTCCTCTTTTTGCGTGTGGCTTTCCAATTTTCCCAGCACCATTTATTAAAGAGGCTTTCTTTTCTCCATTGTATGTTTTTAGCTCCTTTATTGAAAGTTATTTGCCCACACATATGTAGATTTATTTCTGGGCTCTCATTTCTGTTCATTGGTCTGTTTGGTCTGCCAATACCATGCTGTTTTGATTATTGTGGTTTTGCAGTATAATTTGAAGTCAGGGAGTGTGATACCTGGTTTTGTTCTTTTTTTCTCAGGATTGCTTTGGCTATTTGAGGTCTTTTGTGGTTCCACACAATTCTGATGATACTTTTTGTTTTATTTTTTAAAATAACCTTATAATTCCTAATTCCATTTAAGAAGACAGTTTGGAGACCACTGATTTAAAAGCCTAAGGTAGTACTCATTTCCATGGTTATATCATAAGGTTTAAAGAAGTTACAGATGGTGGAACTTTATACAACTTAATTGTGCTTTTGTAATTGTGAGGGAAACCAGAAAAAAAGTACCTCTCATCACTGACTGGAGGAGGCTGAGAAGTAGGGTGAGAAGGCTGGCCTTCTCAGGTATAGCATGTATTTTAGTACTGTTAATTCTCAGTGTGGACTCTATATTTGATGTGCAAATACAAGTTGAAAAGGGTGGATATAGATATATATTTTAATAAATGTTATGAAATGAGCCCCATGCCTGACCTTCAATATGTATCCCTTGTGTGGCAGCACAATTGATTCTTATTAAAGATTTTACTTATAATTACATATAGTTACATATTATGCATTTGTAGAAAGTACATATTCACACACACACACCACTTTTTACCTTAAGAGATCACTGTATAATTATTAAATGCTTTATAGNCTTATAATTACATATAGTTACATATTATGCATTTGTAGAAAGTACATATTTACACACACACACACTTTTTACCTTAAGAGATCACTGTATAATTGTTAAATGCTTTATAATAACTTCATTTTTGGTAATAAACCTGATTTTTCAGTCTGTTAGTTTATCTGCTGGAACCAAAGATACATTGGACATTGTTTGACATTTGTATGCAGTTGGTCTCAAATATGTTCTGTTCATCCCCTTGAAGAATCCATGTAAAAACAATGTATGTCATTTCTTCCTCAGATTTTAAAAAGCAGAATAACAAACTGAGAGCATAATAGGACATACATGTTATTACCATATAAATTATGGCATTCTTTTTAGGAAGAGTAGCAGTATTCATTTTGATAAAACTTTATAAAATACTTTCATTTTCTCTAGGTGGTTGGTTCTAGCTATTGCCATGGTACGTTTTTATATGGAAAAAGGAACACACAAAGGTTTATATAAAAGTATTCAGAAGACTCTTAAATTTTTCCAAACGTTTGCCTTGCTTGAGGTAAGTTTTTCAATGATGCTATTTTTCTGTCATTGTAATATTTATTTGAAAATATATTTGCTGAGCAAAAGCAGTTTTGCTGATTACATACCACCTACAGATTCATTTAGAACCGATGTTAACAGGGATTTATTTTGTGTTGTATGCTACTGACTTGTGAATTTTTTTTTATTTGCTTACAGATAGTCCACTGTTTAATTGGTGAGTTTTTTATTTAATTTTTATTTTTGTTATAAATTACCTTGAAGACAATGGTTGACTTGTTTTTCTCTTTAAGGAATTGTACCTACTTCTGTGCTTGTGGCCGGGGTCCAAGTGAGTTCTAGAATCTTTATGGTGTGGCTCATTACTCACAGTATAAAACCAGTAAGTGACACGAAATGTTCTCTACTTGAGCCTGCAGGACAGCTTCCTTATTAATAGAAACCTAAACTATTAGCTCTGGTATGTTTCAGGAAGCAGAACCATTGGACAAAAAAGGCTTGGGTTTGGATTTAAATGTTTGTCCGTTGACTCAGTGAATTAGTAAAATAACTTTGAAACACAAGCAAAACCAAATATTAACATTTTATATTGATAATATACTCTTCTCTGGTGTTTTCCAGTTTTTAAAATTAATATTCATATTCTGTCAAGTGGTTAACTGAAAATTTTCTTTTCTACTAAGTGATGTGTATTGTCTTTGTTTATATAATGAAGTTGTCAGTGTAAATGGTTTATTTTTCCTTATTTAGCATTGAATGTTATAGCAGCAGACATAAAAAGTAAATGTAGCTCTGGAGATCTGAACAAATGACAAAGACTAAATGTTAGAAGGGTTAAGGAACTTAAGGGAAAATAAGCACATTATTTATTGAGGCATGACAGGAGAGAGACCCGAATCTAGTTAGTGGCTTAAACACTTTTAGACAAACAAACACGTGCTAACTATGTCAAGACATCGGGCCTTTTAAACCCATGACAAACATTTCCCAGATGGGCCCTTCTGACCTTCTTGACAGCCTCTGGAGTCTCCTGTCTACTTGAGGACAGATCTCTGGCCTCCTTTCCATTCCTCAGATGCCTTTTAATGCTTGAGACGATACCTAACCTCCCTTCCATTGCCCGCAAAACTCACTGGCCTCCTGTCTGCATGGGGACAGATTGCTGACCTTCTGCCCTTTTATTACTCTACGCTTTAGACTTCTCCACCAGTATCTTCCACTCACCTTATTCTATCCACCTGGTCCCTAACCAGTAACTGCCATACAGAACCCAGTGAGTGTGTGCCACATGGAGAGCCAGACTTTTAATTCAGATTGCCATGCAGTTTAAAATAGGAGTCCGACATTAACAGAACAAAAGAGAGACTATTCTGGACAGTGAAGGAATGTAACAGCTGAGCCAGGACCACAAAGAATCTGAAGACTGAGGAAGAAGAAAGAAAAGGCAGGGTGGCCAACATTAACTGGAGAAAAGAATTTAAAAACAAGCCAAAAGGTGGCTGGTCCCCAAGAGAGAAAAGATACATCTGCTTGCTCTTTCTTTTAATCCTCCAGAGGATCTCTGCCTTAATATTACTATTTAATTTTATCCAACAGTAGTTTCCCACTGGCACCTTTCCACCACTCTTTAATTCAAACAATATTTATTGAGTGCGTTCTATACACCCGGCACTGTGTTAATTTCTGGATCTATAATGAACAAGGCAATCCCAGATGACTGGCTGTTGGGGAGTGAGGGGCAGTCATACAGATGTTGAATCATTCAACAAATACTAATTGTGCACCTGCTCTGTGCTTGACGCCATGGTGGGGATCTGGATATTAGTAATACAAATATAGTTCCCGCCTCGCAGAGCCTGTAAATGGGGAGAAAGACTAGACAAGTTGTTGCACAAATAATTGTTTCATTATATTAGTGTTAGTGCTTTGAAATGAGAGACCAGCATGTACTGCAATATGCTTGGGGACTTAGCCTGACCTAGGGAGTGAAGGAAGGCTCCCCGAGGAAATAGTGTGCAAGTTGAGCACTGATAGGTATACAGGAGTCAGGCAGACAATTTAGTACAAAATCGAAAAGTAGTTATAATACAGATACAAACAGAAGNCTTGGGGACTTAGCCTGACCTAGGGAGTGAAGGAAGGCTCCCCGAGGAAACTGTGCAAGTTGAGCACTGATGNCACTGATAGGTATACAGGAGTCAGGCAGACAATTTAGTACAAAATCGAAAAGTAGTTATAATACAGATACGAACAAAATACTGTGAGAACAAAGAAAGTGAGCAAATAACTGTTCAGGGTGAGAAGAGGGGTTTGGGAAAAGTTTTCCCAAGGACTTGATGTTTTTGCTGAATTTTAAAAGATGACATGAGAAAGTGTTTTCTATGGGAGTAGCATTCTAGTGAAAGGGAATAGCATCTGTTAAGGCACAAATGTTCAGAGCATGTTCTGGAGATAATACAAAGTTTAGTGTCACCAGAGAGAGGTGTTGGGGGTGCAAGGATGGGGATGAGTTTGGTTCAAGTGATTGTAGATGAAGTTGGAGACAGTTCTGAGCTCAGATTATAAAGCACCTTGAACCTTGTGCTCAGGTGGCAGGATTGTATCCTTTCCTCTTGTTAAGTAGTGGGAAACCCATGAGGCTTTTAAATCACAGGGCTAAGCTGCCTCCAGTTTTGTTTTTGTTTATTTGCTTTTTTGTTTACCTTTAAGGGAAAACTTTCATCCATAAGAGAATAAAGAGTAGAGAGATCTTTTAGGAGGTTCTCATGATAGTCTGGATGAGAGATGGTAAGGTCCTGGATTAAATTGATGGTAGCAGGGCCCAAGATGAGTGGGCAGATTTGAGTTAGTGCCACAGTAGAATGGATCTGATTTGATGACTAATAGAAAGTCAGAGGGTTAGATTGTTCCCATGCTGTTTTAAGGGGGTGATGTAGTCCTGGGATAGTTGAGTTACTGGTAGGAGTGAAGGGTGGGAGAGAATCTAGTAGAAATGTGACCATTCCTGTGCCAAGGATATATTTAAGTTGTGTGTTTATGATGAGTTATGTAGTGGTGACTGCATTAGTTTTCTGTATTACATCTGTCTAACCCTACCATTCCATTATAATAAAAGACACATGGTAAATAATTAGGATAAAATATCTTGCTGAAGAAAAAGGTCAAGCTTAAACGATACTGTGGATTTCTCTGTCATTCTGCAGATCCAGAATGAGGAGAGTGTGGTGCTTTTTCTGGTCGCGTGGACTGTGACAGAGATTACTCGCTATTCCTTCTACACATTCAGCCTTCTCAACCACCTGCCGTACTTCATTAAATGGGCCAGGTGGCGATGCCTTGTAGTTTAGCTTCTCACAGTCCTGTGCATGCGTATTTTGTTGCTGAGCTAACACCAGAGAATTAAAATTTGTGTTTTAGCCCTGTGATGCCAGGGTGCTGTTGTTTTCCGTATTTAGCAGTTTTATAAGTTGCATTCTAAAGGCTGAAATTAATGATCAGAGAGAAATCATATTAAAATATACTTTTAGTGAAATCAACATGAGGCAAATTATATTAGTATCCTTAACCTCTAAATTGGTCATTCATTTTTCTTTGAAAGCAAAATACAGTTTGGAAAGTATGTTAAATAAACAGTATGCCAAAAATATGGCATTTTATCTGATTGATTTAAGTTATTTTAATATTCAATCTAGTAGCCACAACCTTTAGTATCTTATGCATACAGTGACATTTTTTTCTGGTATGTTTTAAGTAGCAGAGAGAGACATTTTTAGAAGTCACAATTTATTTGGCATGGGAACAAAATTTATATTTCAAAGGTTCTAAATATATCTATCCTAAAACAATTTTTAAAGCAAAAGATTTTTTTTCTTTTTAAAGTTTGAATTCTTTGAGCAGCTGATATTTTACAAAATTATTATAAAAACAAGACTGTTGTTTGGAGAACAAACCATAAACCAGCATAGATTTGTTCATTTCATTCTCTGTTGCACTTATAGTTGCAGTAGCATCAATAACAATAACTTAATGTGCTGTGCGCCAACTGCATACAAAGATGCAGGCATGAACACAGCAAAACCCGTGTCCTCTCGATGGAGGAGTCAGAAAACTAAACCACTAACAGCATTGCGACAGGCCAGGTGGTAAGAAGTTCAAGGAGACACAGGGTAAGAGATGTGTTACCCGCATACGTCTATTCCAAGTGGGTAGGATAAAAGGGTTCCACAGTTTTTACGTTTCTTTACATTCGCTTGTTAAACTACCGAAATAATATGTTTTCATTGTAAAAAGCTCAAACAGTACGGAAGTTTGTAGAATAAACACAGAAAGCTCCTGTTTGTACTCTTACGTGACACACTCCCTTCCTCTTGGAGGGAAAAAATTTGTAGTTTACCCATCCATACTTTTTCATATTAGCAAAATGTGAAAACTGTCTGAGTTTTTACAAACATAAATAGGATGATATTATACTTGCTTTTTGTTTATATCTTGGAACTCTTTTTTTTCTTCTTTAAATCACTACAGGTATAGTTAGATTTAGTTCTTTAATTCTTTAGTCAGTCTCCATAGTATGACTGACCCAGTTTTCTATTGCTAGAATTTAGATCATTTTCAATTTTTTAATGTTATAAATACTGCTTTATCCACATTTCTGTTATTTTTAAAAACTCTGACATTTATATTAATACATTCCTAACTTATTTGAAGGTAATCCAAAACTAGTGTCAGATTTGTTTTTGATCCCCATATATTAAAAACCTACCACTTTTTCTTTAGTGATTACTCCTTTTTTACAACTCGTATGCATGTTCAAATATAATAAATGAGAATATATAAACCAATAAGCCAAAAAGAAGGAATAAAACCCTTTTAAATTCCTTATAATGTCCCTGCACAAGGATAACCACTGTTAATTGTGTTATATAATTTTTCATACTTTTAAAATATTTCCTAGCTCTTTTTTCAACATTTGTGGCTTACCATTTTGTATGTAATAAATGCTTTAAAATTATGATTTGTACTTAAACGTATTGTCTGTCTTAAGGTTGCATTACCATTTATATGTGTTTGGTTATACCTGAAAACTTACTCATTTTTAGCGATTTGGCCTTTTATAATCTTGGCGGTTTGAAAGGTGGCTGAACTCAAAGCCTAGAATGCTTGTCAGTGCTGTTTTACGTGACCTCAGTCTTCCCGACCTCTAGTGCCTTTAAAAATACTAATTCATGATATAGTATTTTTAAGTTTGCTGTATTTATAACATTTGTTTGTGGAAGAGAATGGCCTTTAATGCTTTGTCTGACTGTCTTTTGGAATGCATTTGTCTTGAATTTCTGGAAAAGTTTACATCTCTGCCAATTGCATGTAAAAATTTGCTGTTTTAGAAATCTGTTATCAATTGCCTTAATATTAAACAGGGTACTATAAAATCTTTCAACTTTGAAAATGCACATGTTAGCATAATACATCAGGTCAGTTCATTCTAATCATGAATAATTCTATTTTGTGTTCAAGAATCATAAAGATCCCAACCGTCTATATATATTTGCCAACCTCCTTAAATAAGCTAAAATCATATTTTGTACTTAGGTTCAAATGTTGAAGCTATGTTCTCAAAGCTTCACTTTAGAAATACCTTTTTAATTATAACTAGTTGGCCTACTGTGACGATTTGAATATAACTTGATCCTATTTATGTTAGAAGTGTCCCTAGAAGAGTCCACTAAACAGATAATTGTGTACTGTTATGCTTTTATATTGATTTCTAGGTTAGCTTCAAAAATGCATTCCCTTCAAAAAACTTTAGGTGACAATTAGGAATCTTTAAGGAACATTATATCTTTTTCCGAATGGTAGTTAAATCACATGGCCATCAGAACTTGATGACGTGATCTTTGAAAAATGCAAATAAAGTCAAATAAATGATATAATTTATTTCCATTTAATTAAAAAGAATCACTCTCTAAGACTTTAAACTAGTTTATTCTAGGAATTACTTTTTTCCTACTAAAGAGCAATGCTACAGAAAAAAAATCAGTCACATAAAGTATAAAAAAAAAACTACTTAAATTTATTTGTTTTCTTTGAAAAAGGAATATAATTTGTTTAGTTATGTGATTTTAAATTGAGATAGGAAATTGATATTGGACAAGATTGATTTAAATGATACACAAATAACTGTACAGACTGCAAAGAAGGCAAGTGTTATACTGCAGGAAAGGAGGGGAAAACAGGGACAGGGCAAGGATCATTTTTCGTTCTTTACCAGTTCATCTATTCTGGCAAATAATTCTGTCCCTGTCCATCTCTCATCCCTGTAAATCTTTGGCATACAGGAATAAGGTGATTTTTAGACTGTCTCCAAGCTTCTGTCATACTGACAAATTTAACTTTTCTTTATAAACATTTCTTAATGCCAACAAGATGATTAAATAAAATATGGATTCATTTTCCACCAAAATTTTGACTTTAATTTCCTGCTGAATAGTGACTGACTTGGAGAAAAATGATTTTCTTTCATGGAGAAATGTCAGTGCCTTGGGTCCTTGAGGCTCCTGGGGCTGGACATCAGTAGGAACTTGGAGACTGTTTCCCTAACTGTAGCATAAGTGGTGCCCGGCCTGCTCCATGTTAGGGAACTTGCCACAGACCAAATGAACAAATTGTGACTTTTGGATTTTGAGTGGAACTTTCTCATATCTATTTTAAGCAAACTAAACTATTTTTTAACATGGGAATTCAGGAAACAACTTGTTTTGTTGTGAAAGACGTTTTCGACAGTGTATTCATTACTGATTACTGGTGCTCTAGATAATATCATTAGTTTTCTGAAATACTGATTCTCTTTTAATTAGTAGCCACAAAGTGTTTTACAAATTCCTCCAAAGAGGTAATTTCAAGGGTTAGATGTAAAATTAGGATCATAACTGATCTTTTAAAGCATAGCATTTGAACAGTAAATGTCTAGCTGCAGGGGAAAAATCAGTCAGTTATGATTCCAGGTGTCAAAAATGCTACCTTTACAATAACTCTCAGTGCCTACATAGGCTTTACAAACCAATACCTGCATACCTTAAATAGTTTAAAAACTGCAAATACATTTTAAAAATGCATGCAACGATTTTAGTACTTTAAAATAAGTTGACTTTTTGTTTTATTTTGATTTTACCATTTGAAATGGAAACTGCTACAAGAAAAAAGAATGATAATTAAATTAATAAGCAAATGATTAAAATAGGAAAAAATTAACCTTTTATGTGAGGTTATTGTAAATATGTATAGGAAGAAGAATTTTTAAGTTTAAGTATAGCAGCAGCAAAAGAACCATGATATAAAATCCAGTACTTATTCTAGAAAAATAACTCTGAGGTTTTTCTTTCTCCAGATATAACTTTTTTATCATCTTATATCCTGTTGGAGTTGCTGGTGAACTTCTCACGATATATGCTGCCTTACCATATGTGAAGAAAACTGGAATGTTTTCCATAAGACTTCCTAATAAATACAATATCTCCTTTGACTACTACTATTTTCTTCTGATAACCATGGCCTCGTATATACCATGTAAGTATGTGCTTATTAGTACTTTGATTTAGCATATATTCTGAAAGTTTTTGGAAAGTTATAATCACTAGCTAAATAAGTACGGAGAAATAACTGCTTACAAATACATCAAAAGCTCTATTCAGTCCCGCATATATTTATTAATTTGATATAATCGAAGAACTAGTGAGTCAGAAAAGACTTTTTCCTAGTTATGAGGAGAAAGGTGAGAAAATTAATACACAAATGATTGTCTTCTTTCTTAAAATAAGCTCAGTATGGTTTATTTTTTAAAGAAAACGTAAAGCATGCATCATTGAACTATTTGTAAGCATTTAGAGTTACGTGTCTGAATAGAAACATTTTATCCAAGAAAATGTCAGGCCGTTTCTTGGAGAAATCATCTAGGAGTAGTTTTTAGCTTTGTGTGTGTTGTTCTATGCTCTAAAAAATAATGAAGCTGCTTTTCTTAAAATATTTTGAATAATTCAGCCTCTACTAATTTCTCATCACCTTTCAATAATTGCAATGAATTAGTGAGGCTTCACTTGCTTCATTTAAATACTAATAATGGTATATATTTAATTCAAATTTTGATAGTCACTAGCAGGAACTAATGTAAAGCAAGGTGGTTAGTTACCCTTCCCAATAAAATTAGAGACTGATGCCACTGGGGGAAAAGGGAAATAAAAAAAAGTTTATAGAATTTAAAGTCTTCATTGACACACTATAAAATATGTAATCTAAAGAGAATGAGCATAAAACTTGGCCGGCACCTGGAAGCCTCCAATTTTTAAGCTTTTCAAAATCAAAATTGACTTTAATGGTCTGGTAGTGTTTTTATTCCCCTCACTTGTGCCATTTCAGCCTGACTCTCATTAGATTTCCATCAGTCAGTTCAGGAGGCTAAGGAGTGGTACACCTATAACACTTGTTTATACCCCCTGCCTTTCCTGATACCCAGTGAAGGGCACCACACCTTGAGCAGAGCCAGACCTTGCTTCAGTTTCTGTCATACCATAGTTGCAGGTTCAGGTATAGGGTTCTCCCGTTCCTCATGACCACTGAGACACCTGCACGAAAACCCAGGGCCCAACAGATTGTGGTTTGAAACCAGCAAACTAGTAACTTTTGACTGTGTTCAGGTGTCCTGGGAAATGTAGACTCCATCCTATGCCAGTAGCAGGTTCTCAGTTTATCATGCTGACATTTACCTGAGAGCCCACTTGCTGGAAAATCAGTCAGCCTGGAGTTGTTTTCCACTTGATTATTAATATTAGTAATAATAACTGATTTTGCTTTTGCTTACTAAATTTTTTGCTTATTAAAAGTACTTTCTGAGTACTTGTTTTAATACTAAAAAAAAAAAAAAAGCACTGTTATTGCTCACTTATCATGAGGACTTTACAGATTAGAGAGGTTACGTGGATGGATTAAACATCACCTAGCTAGTAAATAAGGTTAGGATTTCAACTCAAGCCTACACTTCTACTAAACTACTCAGAATGTTAAAGCATTTGCAATCATTGGTCAGTTAGCTCTAAGGACATATGACCTGAATATATTTAGGCCCATAGGTATAATATGGTGGTTACATTTATCAAGATGAGTAAAAAGTAAAATCTGCTGTACATTTTTGCTGCATTTGAGCAAAGTTCTAAAAATAGTTATCTGAAGTTGCCAAAACAAGATATTCAAAGCTTGTTTTGTCATTAAATTCATTGGTTTGGTTTTTCTGTTTACCATTTTCAGAGATGTTTTTGCATTTGTATTGTTGATGGTTAATGTGAATTTGTTCATCCTCTAACGCTTATACTTAATTGAAAGCACTGTTTCAAATTGACTCAGAATAATTCTCCAAATTTGATAGGGCAGAAGACAGTTTGTCCGACTGGTCTAATACATGTACATTTATGTGTGTGTATATGGCAGACTACCCTTATACCCAGCCAAAAGCGGCTTCTGCTCTGGCTCACCACTGATCACCTCTCCACACAGGTCCCCCGCCTTCTAGATCACACGCTGGAACCTGGGGACCATGGAATTTGCAACCCACATGGCACTGAGTGTACATCTAGGAACTGCATAGGCCTCTTTCCCAATTTGTTCTCCTTGAGGGTTAACCATGTCAGCAGTGTACACAGCCCTGAAACCAAGGGGCAGCTAGGGGCAGCTGTTTGTGAGGGAGATGGGTTGTGTGGCTTGCATATCTGCACAGATATTCACAAGACCTCTTGTAGGATGGGGCAGCCAGTAGGATGGAGAGAAGGGAGCCGGGTGGGCAACTTTCCTTGTGCTGGGACGTTTTGGCACAGAATTCCAAATTGTTACAGGATTCTAAATTCAAACATAGCCTTCCAGGTCATTATGAAGGCATATTTATCAAGGTATTAAAGCTTGCTAAGAAACCCCACTAATGCATTAAAATATTTAGGCAGATGGTATGTGGCCTCTGTTTGTACTCTCGCCCTGAGCTCTAAATATTAGGGGGTAGTGCTGGTATCTGATGTGCTTGTCCTCAGACTTTGCCACCTTTAAGAGGTTTCAAGCGTAAGTAATTTCCAACAGTAGCTTATTTTTCTCTGTTTTCTTTTTTCACTTAAGTGTTTCCACAGCTCTATTTTCACATGTTACGTCAAAGAAGAAAGGTGCTTCATGGAGAGGTGATTGTTGAAAAGGATGATTAACTGACCTCTGCAAACAAGGTGCTTTTTCCAGAATAACCAGGATTACTTGAGTCCAAGTTTTAATAACAAGAATAAACAACTTCATGAAATATTACAGATTGTATTATTTCTTCAAATATAACTTGAGACACTTGGTGTTTGCCAGTATTTGCCTTCACGTTGTGCCAGGTCCATTTTCTACAAGAACTGTGCAAGTAGTTAACCAACTCCTGGGTAGGTGGTGATCATTAAGAAAATAATCAGCGTATTACCTGCAAAAAACCCTTTTTTTTAGTTTTTCTGTTTCACTAAATTTTTTTGCAACATAAGCTCAAAGTTTTCTCAATCAATATTTAGAAATTAGTTCATTGATTCAACATTATATGCCTGCCAGTGATAATTTATGTGATATTTATAAATGAAAGTAAATACAGAGTTATCGTAACTCATTAATAATGTATTGGTGTTTCTTGAACCCAAGATTTTATTTCAAGTTATAAGGGAGCATTTTGATTAAGAGCAATTTTTGGAAGCATGGATATAACTTACTGTTGTGAGACTTTTGATATAGGTGTCACAATTGGAAAATATTATTTGAAATATGCCTAGGCCATTGAAATTACTTATACTACTAAGCAAACTCATTTTTATTTGAATTAGCCATTCAAGGACAACCTTTTCAACTCTAAAGGTTTTAAGGGATTAGAAACAACATAAGTATATACTTTGCCTCACTTATTAAAAATAAGGACATTAGGTCTGATCATAATGTTATACTCAGAGCTCTGGCCAAGAAAGGCTTCTCTATACCATAGAGTCATCTAATAAAAACCATGTTGTGATAATCTTTTTGTAATACTGAGGTAAGGAGAAGTTTGCGGCTGTGGTCTGAAGCAGACTCATTCTATCTGAATTCCACTGAGTAGTCTTATGATGAAGCTGTCTGTGTTTAATAGAAAGATACACTGAAAGACATACTTTCATACTTCTTTAATCCTTAAGTAGGTCCTTTAAAAATTTTCTTTCTTATATTAAGGGATGATGCTTTACTGACCCAGTTTAGAGAGAATATTAAATACATGGCTTAAAAAAGAAGGAACTTTTGCTTACTATAATATATATGTAATGTTGGCTTTAAATGTTCTGTATTGCTTGCATTTACATCAACATGTAACATTACACTTCAGAATTTTGTTACCACCTCCTTTTCAAGTGATTTCATGTGATTCGTAGTTAGAATAGTTTTGCAAATTTTCATTTTAGATAACTTGATTTAAAAGGTGCTATTTATTTTATTACATTATACTTTAATATTTCCTGTGCAGCTGAATGTTTTAATGAGCAATATGTATTAGGTTACTAATACTCAAAATGCTGACGTACATTCTCTGTTTACATGGCTTGATCTGTTTTCATCTTTAGTTTTCATATGGAAGAAATTTTCAGGGAGGTTTTATCTTTGGCAACATATAGTATAAAGTGTTTACATATTTATCTTGTTAGATACCTGTCTTATGAAAAATATTTCAAACCCTTTTCCTGAAATTTGCATTAATTCAATCTGTGCTTCCTTTAAGTAGCTGTAATACTCCCCCCCCCTTAAGTTGTAGAATATCTTGAAGTAGAAATTGTGATTAACTTTAATTGGAAATGAAAATGCCCTTGTGCACTGTTGGGAATGCAGACTGGTGCAGCCACTGTGGAAAGTAGTATGGAGTTATCTCAAATAATTAAAATGGAACTGCCTTATGACAGCGATTCCACTTCTGGGAATATATCTGAAGAAATCCGAAACACTAATTCGAAAGAATATATGCACCCCTCTGTTCATTGCAGCGTTATTTACAGTAGCCAAGACTTGGAAGCAGCCCAAGTGCCCATCAGTAGATGAGTGGATAAAAAGCCGTGGTGCATTTACACCATGGAAAACTATTCAGCTGTAATAAAGAAGGATCCCTTACCCTTTGTGACAGCATGGAGGGACCTGGAGAGGATTATGCTAAGTGATATAAGCCAGTCAGAGAAAGACAAGTACCATATGATTTCACTTATATGTGGAACCTAATGAACAAAATAAACTAATAAAATCGAAACAGACCCATGNAGGGACCTGGAGAGGATTATGCTAAGTGATATAAGCCAGTCAGAGAAAGACAAGTACCATATGATTTCACTTATATGTGGAATCTAATGAACAAAATAAACTAATAGAATAGAAACAGACCCATAGAGAACAGACTAACAGTTGTAGATGGGAGCAGGTTGGAGGGTTGGGTGAAAAAGGTGAAGGCATTAAGCAAAAAAGACCCCACAAAACCCTCAGACACAGACAACAGCATGGTTGTTACCAGACAGAAACGGGGGTGGTGGGAGGTAGAAGAGGGTAAAGGGGGGATAATTGGGGATGGAAGGAGGCTTGGCTTGGGGTACCGAGCACAATACAATGTACTGATGATGCATTATAGAATTGTACACCTGAAACCTATGTAATTTTCTTAACTAATGCCACGCCAATAAATTCAATAAATAAAATTAAAAACAAAAAGAACAAACTCACTGAGATTGGGGCAAGGTCTCACAGTGAATCTGTATGCCCACACCACAAAAGTGTGTAAAAGTTATTCAATAAATTCATATGGAATGATGGAAAAAGGAAACTGCCTCAGACTATTCAGTGCCCTATAGTAATGTACTCAAAGTACGCGTAACTATGCAGAGCTATGCAGTCTTCAGTATCTTCCATTTCAACTAATTCTAAATCGTGCTTGGTGTAGAAAAGAAAGTGCTTAAATGGTACTTCGATTTAAAACAGAGAAAATGTTTGGAAGTCCTTTGCACTTGTTTCCTGTAACTGTCTCTTTTTGGATTGCTCCTGAAGTTGCCCTAAGTGTTCTTTCAGAAGACGAGGCAGGGCTCGAATCAAGTAGAACCTGAATTCAGTCCTATAGACTTTACCTTTTGAAAAACATATATCAACAAATTTTAATATTGGCAATTTTCAGTGGGATTTGGTGACATTCCTTCAAATTCTGGTTTTAAATTTTTAGTAACTTTATAGTGGGATATTATACAATTTATACAATATATACAATGTGTCTTTTACTTGTCATGATCTTAATTTGATATTAATACAGCAACATATCTGATAGGTATGGCTTCATAAAAATAGCATGCCAAAATATTTAAAAAGTCATTTTAACTAAAAGCTTTTGTTACTTGATTATCTGTGGATTTTCAAAAACATTATTCTTGCATCTTTCGATTTTTAAGCGTCTAATTATTATTAAACTCCCATGGTTTCTGATGATATATTGCAAGTGATATGGAATTATGTAATAATCCTATTTTCCCCATCACAAATGTTTATTTTTTGCCTACTGTGTGCCAAGTACTGTTGTATGGAAATTACCATCTTCCTCCTGTCTTACCTCTCTCTACCCAAACCTTTGACACAATTACTAGGTTAAATTGGTTAGGAAATCACATTGCAAAATAATCATCTGTGCTTTAACAAAATATAGTGCATTGGTAATCTGATGGTTGCAGGGTTCTTTGTTACTTATATTTGTATCAGTGTATCAGAGCACCCCTAAATAGATAACCTTCTGGTTTAAAACTACTTTCAAACAAAACAATTATTGATATAAAACTGATAAAATAATTCATTAAGGCATTTATGGAAAAACTATAAAATGCAACACTTGAAATATTTTTCAAATGAATGTGCAAAATGTAGAAGTATTTTTCTTTAACATATATGTAGATCTGGAATATACATATAATTGCTAGGATAAAAATATGAGCAACAGTTACATATTTCTAGTATGAACGCAATAAATGGAATTGAAATTTCAATTTCATATTTTTAGGTTAAATTTACAAAACATCTTAAATAGACATGGGCAAGTCTTCTAAATAGGAAGCTTAAAAATATATTCTAAAGATTTTAGATTTTTTTTTTTTAGTGTTACAGCTTTCAAAAATATTTTTATCACTTTTTGATTTGAAAAAATTTCAAACTTACAGGAAAGTTGCAGAAGTGTAAAAAGCCTTCACTTGAATTCTCCACCTATTAACATTTTGTTCCATTTGCTGTAGCTTTCTCTCCATATATATTTATTAATGTTTTGTGAATCATTTGAGAGAAGTTGAAAATATTAACCCCTAATTACTTCAGTGTTTATTTCTTAAAAACAAGGAAATTCTCTGACATAACCACGGTATAATATCAAAGTCAGGAAATTAACATTGGTAGAATACTTTTATCTAAACCACAGACTTTATTTAAACCCCATCAGCATGATGTTCTGAACACGTGTATGTTCTGGGTCCAGGTCCAAACTAGGTTCAGGTGTTACATTTAATTATCATGTCTTTCACCCTGGAGCTGTTCCTTTTTTTTTTTAACCCTTACCCGAGGATATTTTTTCATTGCTTTTCAGAGAGAGTGGAAGGGGGAGAGAGAAACACTGATGTGAGAGAGACACATCGATTGGTTGCCCCCCCACCCCCACCCCAACCAGGGCCGGGGATTGAGCCGCAACCGAGGTACATGCCCTTGGCCGGAGTCAATCCTGGGACCCTCAGTCCATGGGCCAGTGCTCTAACCACTGAGCAAGAGCAGCTAGGGCTTTTCCTTATTTTTTTCCTTCATGTTTCATGACTGACATTTTCAACAGTAGCGGACAGGTATTTTATAGAAAGCCCCCCAATTTGGGTTTGTTTAATGTCTCCTGGTCAGATTTAATTTATTCACTCTTGGGCAGGAATATTGATTTGTTCCATTTCCTGGTGATACTAACTTTGATGTTTTAGGGTTTGTGTTTTTTAATATTTTGGTTGCAGAGTAACATATAGATATTTTGGTAATAGAAGGCCTATTCATCTGATTCATCGGGGTTTGGCTTTGACATAAGGCCCTGGGATTTTTTTTTTTTTTTTAATCTGAATATACCTTGCTCTGATACATGAAGAATAGTGTATTTTTAAGTGCTTAAAAAGTAGTAACTTCTTTTACACATGCAATTTCCAGGCATTAACTCACCTTTATAATTGCCTTTTATGCCTTTAGACTGTAAAACTCCATAATTAATACACTTTGGTTTGCTTGAAAATTTTTAGCAGCATTCTGTTCTACATTATTATATACCCTTGCCACGGTATTCTGCTTTACTGAAATATATAATGCAAGACTGAGATTGCTGTAAAAATACACTTAATGATTTTTGATGGTGCTTTACTGATTTTATATATTTATATACACACACATACACAAAATCCTCACCTGAGGACATTTTTTCCATTGCTTTTCAGAGGGGGCGGGTGGGGAGAGAGAAACATTGATGTGAGAGAGAGACGTCAATTGGTTGCCTCCCACACGCACCCCAACCAGGCTGGGGATTGAGCCTACAGCCCTTGTCTGGAATCGAACCTGGGACCCTTCAGTCCACAGGCCGATGCTCTAACCACTGGGCAAAACTGGCCAGGGCACCGTTATATTTTTAAATGTGGTTTTTACAATTTGAAAAATAAAAATGATTCGTGAGTCTACTTGTCATTTGTGGTTTTACATTGAGGATAGTGACTGTACAACAGTGGTTTTCAGACCACATCTTTTATGAGTCATCTGAGGACCCCAGAGTCCCTCAGACTTTGCATGAGTGGCTGTGGGGCTGCGAACTCACTGGCAAGGTGCTGGGCAGTTCTGATGCAGGCCTTTTAGTTGTTTCACCGCCCTTCGAGAAACACTGCAGTAGCGACATGTCAGGTGGAGGGAGGTGACTTCTTACAAATCCTATATTCAATGTCAGCATTCTAATAAAAATGAACACCATAGCTTTAAGTT